TGTTTGAGTTTGTGTTTGTAGCATATAATTGATCTAAAACTTATATTCATACAAGATAAGTCATTATTGCATATTAAATTATGAAACTCGTGCATTAAAGAATTTGCAGCAAATTAATATCAAAATAGGGTCACTTTGTTCTTTAGGTTCTCTCTCTTTTGACTAAACAAAGTACATTTTTCATTTCCTTCTCTTACAAGTTATACACCATTTAATAAGAATAAAAAAACGACTTGTTTTTTCCAACTTAGGTGCTTATTAAGGTAGATTATGATACGTGTGATTTTTATTGTATTCATTAATAAGAAGTTAAACAGCATTTATCATGGTTTTGTCAAAATTTCCATGCCTGTAACAAACATTATTCCACGTTTAAAGTAACAAATGTGTACTACTGAATTTAAAGAATAAAAATTGCATTCTCATTAAAAATAATCACGTCAAACTAAATACTAATTTCTAAAAGATTAAAAAACACTATCCCAGCATTTCTCACCTGAACATAGCGTGTACAAAACATTTCTCCCAATTTCTTCACTCTTGCTGATATGTCATCAATGGGGTTTCGAGTACATTCTCTACAAAGGAAAACCAAACTACTCAGCTAAAAATAACTATATTCATGTTTCAAAGTGGTGGTTGTTGTTGTTACATCTGTATCCTATAAAAGTATTTATCAGAAACTAATTCAACGAGATTAAATAAAAATTGTCTTTCTTCTCATCTTTGACTTTTAACAATGAGTGTAAGGGAAGTGTTAACAGAATACACTGTTAAACAATAACTTTTCAATGGCTACAAAATGGACAATAATATATAACTTTTGCATATTTTGAAAAGTGCTTATATTTGAAAATTCTAGCATTCAAATTTCTTAACCCCTTCAAGTAAGTTATATGTTCAGGTAACTTAACTTTCAAAATTGTAACAAAAAAATAAACTTCCATTTGACCATTTTTTCCTCAAATTTCTTAATGAGTTGATATTTTAGCATTACACAATACTTGTATAATATAATATCTTGTTTATATCATTAATAAAGACTAAAAACTGTTCTTTCTGTATCTAAATTGAAAAAAAAAGATACTCCTAAATTTTTTCTATGTTGGCTCTTAAGTTTATATTTATTATTTTCAATCAAACTTAAACAATTTCAGTTATCTTAACACTTACTTTATATTTCACTATCTATTCTGTTGCAAATTTAGTGGCTGAACTTGCAGGCCTGAAAAGCCTTAATTAATGGTTTTCAGCTTTGCAAGGCTAGTAATTCATTTGGAAAAGAAAGCATTATATCACATTTTTTAGTAACCGAGTCTACTACCATTTGGTTGGTCACTTCAGTGGTCATTACAGCCTCATATATTAGAACTTGGTACAACGTTTCAGTGGTCATTGCAGCCTCATATATATATATATATATATAAAGTCCCACAAACACATTTTCAATCAATATCAAAGTCAGTTTAATCAGTCATGCCACTCACAATTAAGTTATCCCACTGCCAATGTCAGCCACACTTTACTTATTCACACATTTTTATGTGAATTCTCACAGCTCACATTAGCAGAGAAGCTCAAAACAAAATGGAAAATAAAGAAATATTAGCTTTAAAGCCATGTGTTCGAGAATACAAAAGTCTTTATCTGACAAATAGTTATACTTTAGGAAATGCTGATGTTGAGTGTGTAGTCAACAGTAACAAAGCAGCCTCTTAGACAGTTTTCAAATACTTCATTTTCTATGAGATCAGGTAAGGATATTTAGGTTTAGCAAATATGGTATATCATGCCTGTGATGTCAAAGACTTTCACTCAGCAAAATAAAGTATCAAAATACATATATTAATAAACATCAAAATCAGTTTTAACAGTACAAAAAATGGAACTGTCTGAGCAATAAATTCAGCTGACTGATTCCTTGCAATTTTTACATACCATGCAAAGTTCCTTGCTTTTTTCTAAAAGTATCAATATATTAAATATTCATAGCTTTATATATACATATATTAATCAGCATATACATGCCTACTTTTTTTCCATACATATAATATTTGTTAACTGTTTTAATATTACATATCATAGAACAACTGAAGGATAATTGGGCAAGAAGAGTAACCTAGCATCAATGTAACATTATTATCAATATCAGTTTTAGTAAAGTCCCAAAACATGCTTAACCACTTCTTTGGAGGAGTCGTATCAATTACATTTTTAGTATCTGAGCTTTAATACTTAATTGGGTGAAACGAGTCTCTTAAGAACATCTTATGCATGCTCAATGGGACTGAAGTATAATGAACATGCATGATGTTTCATTTGGTCATTCTACTCTTCAAGAAATGTTTTGAATAGCTTAGCATGGTGGGGACAGCATTTTCAGTCAGAAGCCTAAAGTCTACGCAAGTTGCACAATCACACGGTAACACAAAGGGTCATAGGATATGATCTTCATAGTAGCAGCATAATTTCTCGAAGATGTCAAGGCTGGTATGTTCACCAATACCTGTTCACACCATACTTAACTAACACAATATACATAATGTTCCTGTAAGAAATGAAGGTTGTATCTGGTTTCAATTTAACCAAATAAATCTAGATATGATACACAGCTTTAAGGTGAAATGCAACTAATCTGAAACAAGAATATTCCTGGCACTAACTGCAGGCGAGCTAGCTGTTGTGTAAGTTGCTGTGAGTAGAAAGCACCTCACATGGTATTTGCCAAAGAGGGTGTCTCTGCGAAATGCATTTTTAATTGATTGTATGGTGATATGTAACCTAGTTGTGTCTGTGAACATTGTCTTAAAGAAGATACTCTATTACGGTAGTGAGCCAGAATCGACAGACAACAATTGTTTGTATATGAGGGTCTGCCTTGTCCAGTTATCTGAGCAACTGTATAGTGACAGATCATTCAACTGTGACTGCCAACATCTGATCAAGAACAAATAGACAGCAATCATGTTGTAATTGATGATATGAAACTTGTAGCCAGCTTGTTCATAACAGACTGCTATGATTAGCAGTTTTTCACGCAAGTAAAACATCACTTTTTGAGACCATGTTTCATGTAATAAGCACTCTAAGATTCCTTATAATACTAAAGTTAATAAACTTACTTGAACAGTTCAAGCAGTGTATCGGAAGGGCTTGTTTTATATCCATTCAGCAGACTCTGAAGACGACTGACACTCTGCGTTGCAGTGGAAACAGGGGTGACATTAGCTGCTTCTTTGTCCATTAAGTATACACGACTAGTCAATGGAGTTGGAGGGGCAAGGGAATTTGTCTGTGTTAAAAAATTTAATTATTTTATTTAATATTTTATTTTAATTCAATGTTTCTTCAAAGTTCTTGTTATAACAATATAGTAGGCATTTGATCATTCTTTTTTTTTTTAATTATTACAAAGACTTGTGGAACATTAACAATTACACGTCTTTTGAAAATAGTAAAGCAAAACATTTAATAAACAGCAATTTGGGTTTCTTACTTCATTTGTAGGGTAAACCAGGTTTAAAATTCAGGTAAAAACAAAACGGTATTGGTTGATCATTAACATTTTCTGGGTTTAAGCAATGCAATACATTATGCTTATGTTTTAATTAATATTACCAAGCAATTAATATAGTCAAAGCTCACATGATTTAGTTAAAATTTTGGCCAGATAAGGTAGTAAGATAAAGTGATACTACTGTAGGTAAAATATTACAAAGCCACAGCTAAACAAAATTGAATAAGTAGCCCTAATATATTAAAACTTCTCTCTCTCATAATGCCTGTGGCAATGTAAACAATGCAACTCATTAAGTTAACATAACAGAGAGTACATACTAAACACAAAAATCTATCAAAAACAGCTTCTCTAATGATGAATTCTCATGTACAAGTATGGACAATAGATTAGTGTCTTACTTGTTCTAAATGTTGTTTTAAATTTCTTGGTTGCAATTTTTCCTCAAATTCTGCATTACTAAAGTTAGGTTTTTTGGCAGGGGTACCAATTTCTTCATTAGCATTTTCTCCAAGAAAAACTCGCTCATCAAAATCTCCTACTTTTAGTACATACTCTTCATATGCTCTGTTAATAGCTTTGCTAATAGAAATAAAAAAGATATTAAAGAAAAATGAAAAGTTAAAAAAAAATTAAGGAAAATTGATTTTTATACTGATATTTGATTGTGTTTGTAACACACAAAAAATCTGTATGATATTTAAGACAAAAATTCCAACCCTTTACAAATCTACATATATATTTTGTTTAACACAAAAATATATTAGTTTCACTGAAAAAAAAATTAAGATTTTAACTCACCTATTAGATTCAAAATGTGGCAAGTCTAATAATCCTGTGAGAGTTTCTTCCCTGCCTTTTAACTCCTTTGTCACAAAAAAATTAAAAGTTATCTGTCATTTGGAAAACAAAATCTAATATTCGTTTGATATAAGTAGCTTGTTTCACTTGCTTCTTTTACTCATTTACATAAATGCTATATAGAGTAAAATAAATTTCAAAAACTAAAACAAATATTTTGTTTATCAACTGCTCTTTACTGTTTTTGTTTCACAATTATAAATCTTGCATTCCCATAGCTTATTTTAACATTCTATTATCTATTAAACAATTGGACATTTACATTCAAACAAAATTAATACTTTAATACAAACTACAATTAGGTTTAGCAAAATAAAAGTTATACTCTTTTCTTATCATAATTATATTAAATTCAAAAATCTCTAATTTTTAATACATTTTTTAAAACCATGAACTGAATGTTAATCAAACTCCATGTCAGTTTCTGACCTTGGAATATATTTTTCCACCAATCATGTTTTATATACTCTGATGACCATAGTGGTATTATACTGTTGAATGGTTCGGTATTTGCCAAAATCAAGTATATACGTGGTGCCATGGCTCATATAGGTAGCGATAAATTACAGCATTAGCAAATACAAATAGTTCTCATAAAGCATAATTAACTTCTCCATACAGTCTTGGAGATCCTTTCAAAAATTATTTTTAGAACTTGTTGGAGCCATAAAATATTCTAAGTTTTTAAAAATAAATATTTTTTCCTTCATATATTCGTAGAATCAGTATTACTTTTTAGCATTTTAAGA